TTTCCTGGTCTCTCAGAAGATCCCTCTGCTGTGGGGTTGCTGAAAGTTGAAGAACAACAAGTGCCAATTGCGACCACAACAGTGCACCGGCGGCAATATCGCACCAACCGAGACTCCCTGATTCCCATCCATCAGCTGATCCGTAGACTGGAGAGTCAGGGGGTGATCAGCAGGACCCGCTCACCCTTCAATAGCCCCATATGGCCAGTGCGAAAGTCTAATGGAGAATGGAGACTAACAGTAGACTATCGTGGCCTGAATGAAGTCACACCACCATTGAGTGCTGCCGTACCGGACATGCTAGAACTTCAGTATGAACTAGAGTCAAAGGCAGCCAAGTGGTATGCCATGATTGATATTGCCAATGCATTTTTCTCAATTCCTTTGGCAGCAGAGTGCAGGCCACAGTTTGCTTTTACTTGGAGGGGTGTCCAGTTCACTTGGAACCGACTGCCCCAGGGGTGGAAACACAGCCCTACCATTTGCCATGGACTGATCCAGACTGCACTGGAACAGGGGCAAGCTCCAGAACACCTGCAATACATTGATGACATTATTGTGTGGGGCGATACAGCGGAAGAAGTCTTTGAGAAAGGGAGGAAAATAATCCAAATCCTGCTGAAAGCCGGTTTTGCCATAAAACGGAGTAAGGTCAAGGGACCTGCACAGGAGATTCAATTTTTGGGAATAAAATGGCAAGATGGACGTAGACAGATCCCCACAGATGTGATCAACAAGATAACAGCAATGTCTCCACCAACTAATAAGAAAGAAACGCAAGCTTTCTTGGGTGCAGTGGGGTTCTGGAGAATGTACATCCCAAATTACAGTTCAATTGTAAGCCCTCTCTATCATGTGACCCGGAAGAAGAATGATTTTAAATGGGGCCCTGAGCAGCAACAAGCCTTTGAGCAAATTAAACGCGAGATAGTTCATGCAGTAGCCCTTGGACCAGTCCGGACCGGACCAGATGTAAAAAATGTACCGTACACTGCATCTGGGGAGAACGGTCCTACCTGGAGCCTCTGGCAGAAAGCTCCAGGAGAGACTCGAGGTCGACCCCTCGGCTTTTGGAGTCGGGGATACAAAGGATCTGAGGCCAGCTATACCCCAACTGAGAAAGAGATACTGGCAGCCTATGAAGGGGTTCGAGCTGCTTCGGAAGTGATTGGCACTGAAGCACAGCTCCTCCTGGCACCCCGGCTGCCCGTGCTGGGCTGGATGTTCAAAGGCAGGGTCTCCTCTACACATCATGCAACTGATGCTACATGGAGTAAATGGGCTGCACTAATTACACAACGAACTCGAATAGGAAATCCCAGTCGTCCAGGCATTCTAGAAGTCATCATGGACTGGCCAGAGGGCAAAGATTTCGGAATGTCACCAGAGGAGGAGGTGGTGCGCGCTGAAGAGGCCCCACCATATAATAAACTGTCAGAAAGTGAAAAGCAGTATGCCTTGTTTACTGATGGCTCTTGCCGTATTGTGGGAAAGCATCGGAGATGGAAGGCAGCTGTATGGAGTCCTGGACGACAAGTTGCAGAAACTGCTGAAGGAGAGGGTGAATCGAGTCAATTTGCCGAGGTGAAAGCCATCCAGCTGGCCCTGGACATTGCTGAACGAGAAAAGTGGCCAGTACTTTATCTCTATACTGACTCATGGATGGTGGCAAATGCCCTGTGGGGGTGGTTGAAGCAATGGAAGCAGAGCAACTGGCAACGCAGAGGTAAACCCATCTGGGCTGCTGCACTGTGGCAAGATATTGCTGCCAGGGTGCAGAACCTGGTGGTGAAGGTACGTCATGTAGATGCCCATGTACCCAAGCCTCTTTGGTATGGAGGACGATGGTTGAAGTATAAATATGGGGAGGCCTGGCAGATTGACTATATCACACTGCCACCAACCCGCCAAGGCAAGCGCCATGTGCTTACCATGGTGGAAGCAACCACCGGGTGGCTGGAAACATACGCTGTGCCCCATGCTACTGCCCGGAACACCATCCTGGGCCTTGAGAAAAAGATTTTGTGGCAACACGGCACCCCAGAGAGAATTGAGTCAGACAATGGGACTCATTTCCGGAATAACCTTTTAGATATTTGGGCCAAAGAGCATGGCATTGAGTGGGTATATCACATCCCCTACCATGCACCAGCCTCTGGAAAAATCGAACGGTACAATGGGCTGTTAAAAACTACACTGAGAGCGATGGGTGGGGGAACTTTCAAGCATTGGGATACACATTTACCAAAGGCCACCTGGTTGGTCAACACCAGAGGATCTGCCAACAGGGCCGGCCCAGCCCAGTCAGAACTTTTACATATTGTAGAGGGGGACAAAGTTCCCGTGGTGCATATGAAGAATTTGCTGGGGAAGACAGTCTGGGTTATTCCTGCTTCAGGTAAAGGCAAACCCACTCGTGGGATTGCTTTTGCTCAGGGACCTGGATATACTTGGTGGGTAATGCGGGAAGATGGGGAAGTCCGATGTATACCTCAAGGGGTTTTGATTTTAGGGGAAAACAGCCAGTGAACTCAATTGTATGCTGTTGCCTGCTGTGTAATGCTTTTATAGCCCATCAACTAGATGTCTCCAGGTCACCAGCGACTGGCCCTGACTTCCCTCCAGCCATCATCCCAACAGAGAATGAACTTGGAACATCATGGACCGAATGGACTCGGCAGCATTATAGGGATTGGTCCATGCACTAAGAAAATGATTTTTTCCTCTTGGTCTGTATGTATATGGATGTATATATGTGGGAGAGCGATGGTGTATTGAAAATGTGGGATCTGAGCACGACGTGAATGGTATGGAATAAGGGGTGGATAATGCCCTGGGTTCAGCAATAGCAGTCATGTTTTTTCCTTGGTGTTAGCTGGTGCAGTGCTGTGTTTTGACTTCTAGTTTGAGAACAGTGTTGGTGAAGCCGATGTTTTCGGTTGTTGCTAAGTGATGTTTACCCTGACCAAGGACTCTGTGAGGCTCATGCTCTGCCAGGGAGGAGGGGAGGCTGTGAGGAAGCAGAGATGGGGCGCCTGACCCGGGCTAGCCGGGGAGGTATTCCATACCACAGCACGTCATGCCCGGGGTGGGGGGTAACTGGGAGTTACCCGGAAGGACAGGGGCTTCCGGGTGGAACTCGCTTTCTTGGCCGGTGGTATCGTATTCTCTTCCCTTGTTATTTTCCCTTATCATTGTTTTAGCTGATAGTAGCGGTGGTGATTTGTTGCTGGACTGTTCTTGTCTCAACCCGTAGGAGTTGCACTCTCTCAATCCTCCTCCCCGTTCCTCCGGGAGCGGGGAAGGGGAGAGCCCCGGTGCGGGGAGGGGGGGGGGAGACGGACACGGACCTCGATTGTTGTCAGCTCGGCACCACTCACTGGGAGTGAGTGAACAAGTTACCTGACTGGGTTTAAACCACGACAGATATAAATTTGTCCTAGTCTCGGACCCTATCCATAAACTTGCATACTCGCTTTCCTCCAAACTAAATGGCTCCTTTGTGTTAACGTAAATATTTAAAGACTGGCAGATCCAGTCCTTAAAGGACCCAGATACGGTCCAATATAAATGATCACCTCTAATCTGTTTACCTCCCCAAACTTCCATACGATAATGTACCATTTTTACTTTGTCCTTACCCCGCCTAGAAGGGTAGTCATCCCAATATTTAATCATCAATCCCGATGGACTATCCGGTGGTATCTGGGGTAGCTTAGCCTTAAGCTCTGACCCCACCATGGAATGAGAAGGCTTGCTTTTCTTCTGTCCCATCTTCCGTAGTGCCTTCTCACACACACACAGTCTTTTTGCCTCCTGTTCGTGGCCCAGTCCCTCGCAGGAGATGGGAACCGCACTACTAAGGGGTCCGCACTTGCTTTGTCCTTAATTGGATGTCTCACACAGGCACACTCCAGGATACCCAACCCCGACCGAACGGGTAACCAGCCTATACTTTACGCACTCCTGCTTCTTCATTCCAAGCTTCGTGCATAAAGATTACGGGGTTGCTGGCTTTCTTTTGCTTGCTGTCGAATTTAGGATTCGTCGGTAGAGGGTATGGTGAGATAGCACCCAAGCAAGGGCCACTATACAGCGGGGTGCCTCCCCTGTGTGGGGCTTCGTACCAGATTGCCTCTATCCGAGTCACGGCACCAAAATTGTTATAAATGTGGCTCAAATAAATTGATGAGAGCCAGACCAATGAATCAAATTGGTTTATTGAGCAAGCGACAACAAGCAAAACAGCGCTGGGTGGCCGGGGAGTCTCCGCTCAGCCAACGGCATGCACCCACTTCCCCAAAGTCACTGGTTTTATACTCTTCTTCATCCGATATACGTGTCACCTCCTGGCGTCCTCTGCGTCTGTGTGATCTGTAGATAAGGGGTCTCATTCTGTCTCCCGATGGGTGTTAGATAAGGGGTCTCATTCTGTCTCCCGGTGGGTGTGGGGAGGAAGGCTCCTTATCTCCTTCGGGGTTTCATTCTGTCTCCCGTTGGGTGTTGGGAGGAAGGCTCCTTATCGCCTTCCCCATGCTTCGTTTACTTTAACGGATACCCGCGGTCTATAAGCAACATGTCAAAGCACCGTAATTTTCCAGTAACTATTAAGCAAGCAAGTAACTCTAAGCAAGTAACTCCTAAGCAAGCAAGATTTGATTAACAAACAGGAAATTACTCATTACACTTCCAAACCAAGCCAGCCATCTTCTGCTCAACTTTGTGATATCCAGCCATGGCAGAAACCAGCCCAGCCCATTTCCACCCCAGCCACAGGCTGAACCACCCTGGTTTGGTTGATCCTTCCTCCCACACCATGCTCTGAAATACAGGGCAGCACAGGGGCTAGATGCCAGGAGGGAAAGAGTGCTGATGTTTCTTCCTCCGACTTCTCAGGGGAAAGTAAACCGCATGATGGGATTTTAGGGCTTGCAAGGGACTAGAGTGATGGTGCAGCCTGCAAGGAGGGACATGTTTCCCTACCTGACATGTGGCAGTACCTGGGAATAGGATGGGACGTGGGGACAACTGGAACGAACTTAGGGCAGTTGGCCATCTGCTCCTGCACCTTCGCGCAGGACAAGACGTGAGAAAGCGTTTTTGCAAGGGTCACCTGGAGAACAAGGAGAGAAGAGACATTCCTGTCACCTTCCAGATGCAGTGCTAGAGCCTCTGCTACAGCTCAGAAGAGCAGTTTTGATCCACCAATGTTAGAACAAACACTGGTCTGTTTAGGACGACACACACCAGCGTGGAAACGCTACACCAGCCTGTTCTTTGTAGGACAGCAATTTGGGGCCACATGCTCACTGCATGTATCCCCAGAGGTCACACACAAACCACCCAGGTTGCATTACTGAAGCATTAGCTCCATTTCCTTTGCAAAGGAGGAACTGCTGACAGGCTGTCCTGGGTTCAGCAGTAGCAGTCATGTTTTTTCCTTTGTGTTAACTGGTGCAGTGCTGTGTTTTGACTTCTAGTTTGAGAACAGTGTTGGTGAAGCCGATGTTTTCGGTTGTTGCTAAGTGATGTTTACCCTGACCAAGGACTCTGTGAGGCTCATGCTCTGCCAGGGAGGAGGGGAGGCTGTGAGGAAGCAGAGACGGGGCGCCTGACCCGGGCTAGCCGGGGAGGTATTCCATACCACAGCACGTCATGCCCGGGGTGGGGGGTAACTGGGAGTTACCCGGAAGGACAGGGGCTTCCGGGTGGAACTCGCTTTCTTGGCCGGTGGTATCGTATTCTCTTCTCTTGTTATTTTCCCTTATCATTGTTTTAGCTGATAGTAGTGGTGGTGATTTGTTGCTGGACTGTTCTTGTCTCAACCCGTAGGAGTTGCACTCTCTCGATCCTCCTGCCTGTTCCTCCGGGAGCGGGGAAGGGGAGAGCCCCGGTGCAGGGGGGGGGGAGACGGACACGGACCTTGATTGTTGTCAGCTCGGCACCACTCACTGGGAGTGAGTGAACAAGTTACCTGACTGGGTTTAAACCACGACACAGGCAGAAACCCCAAACTGCTCTGACACCTTACAGGATTGTTCCTGGGCCACAGACAGGGAGTTACAAAAAGATCCTCAAACAGAAGCCAGGAAGCACATGAGCAGAGACACACCATGAATAACAGCTTTACAACCAGTCCCTGGAGCATCCCAAAACAGACTGTGCCAGGCAGGGCCAGGCCATGCTGCTGGTTCAGCTTCCCCATGGCTGTTGGGATTGCAGCACGTTAAGCAAGAGCTAAATCCTTACCCTCATTAGGAGCAGCAGAAGAGCTGGTTTGCCTCAGCCTCTTCCGTGTTGAAGGAAAACCTCAGCCTCCTTTTGAAGGCCCCCACTGTTTAATAATAGCTACAGTCTGCTGACAAAGGCAGCTAGGAGACAGTGCCTTCACCTCCACGCAGCCCCGCTTGCCTGGCTCACGGCAGCAGCCATCACACTAGGGGCAACACACCTTGCAGGTGCAGTTTGGGGACATGCTGAAAAAGGGACCCCATAATCCCAACCACTGATAGCAAGCAACCTTGTGTGGTTTAAGCCCAGCCAGAAACTCAGAATCACACAGCCACTCGCTCACTCCACCCCTTCCTCCGCTGGTTCGCAGAGGGATGGGGAGGAGAATCAAAAGAATGTAACTCCCACGAGTTGAGGTAAGAACACTCCAGTAGCAAAAGGTATAACACAAAACCACTACTGCTGCCACCGATAATAATAAGGGAAATAACAAGGGAAGAGAATACAACTGCTCACCACCCGCCAAACTAAAAACATCTGTGTTATTGTCCAGGGTTCAGCAGTAGCAGTCATTTTTCTCCTTCTTAGTAGCCGGTGCAGTGCTGTGTTTTTGATGTTCAGCCTGGGAACATTCCTGATAAAACCAATGTTTTTAGTTATTGCTAAGTCATGTTTACTCTGACCAAGGACTTCCTGAGTCTCATGCTCTGCCAGGGAGGAGGGGAAGTTGGGAGGAAGCAGAGACAGGACACCTGACCCAAACTGGCCAAAGAGGTATTCCATGCCACAGTATGTCATGCTCAGTATAGAAACTGGGGGCAGTTACCTGGAAGGGCTAGATCACTGCTCCGGTCGGGCTGGGTATCAGTCAGCGGGTGGTGAGCAGTTGTCTTCTTTCCCCTTGTTATTTCCCTTATCATTATTATTTGTGGTGGCAGCAGTAGTGGTTTTGTGTTATACCTTAGTTACTGGACTGTTCTTATCTCAGCCCGTGGGAGTTACATTCTTTCGATTCTCCTCCCCATCCCTCTGGGAGCGGGGGGAGGAAGGGGAAGAGTGAGCGAGCAGCTGAGTAGTTCTGGGTTGCCGGTTGGGTTTAAACCATGACAGCTCTTTTTGGCGCCCAATGTGGGGCATGAAGGGTTGAGATAACTACAGGCATATTGTCCTGGGTTCAGCAGTAGCAGTCATTTTTCTCCTCCTTGGTAGCTGGTGCAGTGCAGTGTTTTGACTTTCGGCTCAGGAACAGAGCTGATAGAGATGTTTTGGTTTGGCCAAGGACTTTGTGAGCCTCATGCTCTGCCAGGGAGGAGGGGAAGCCGGGAGGAAGCAGAGACAGGACACCTGACCCAAACTGACCAAAGAGGTATTCCATACCACAGCACGTCATGCCCAGGATGTAACTGGGAGTTAGCCGGAAGGGCTGGGAGACTGCAGGGTTGGAGGAGGTATCGGTCGGAGCTTGGTCGGGCTTGGGGGCCGAGTTATCGGTCGGCTGGTGCTGAGGTGTTGTATTCTGTTCCCTTGTTATTTCCTTTATCACTATTATCATTGGTGGTAGCAGTAGTGATTTGTGTTATACCTTGGTTACTAAACTGTTCTTATCTCAACCCGTGGGAGTTGCATTCTTTTCGATTCTCCTCTCCGTCCCTCCGGGAGCAGGGGGAGGGCAAGAAAGGGGGGGGAAGTGAGCGAACAAATTACCTGACTGGATTTAAACCAAGACAGTTCTTTTTGGCGCCCAACGTGGGGCACGAAGGGTTGAGATAACGACAGATTTGACTGGATTAATAGTCATTCGTCACAATGCTGATTTATTGGGTATCAGAGTTGTTCTTGATCTCACAGCTTCAGACCGTTGTAACTTACGTAGAGCCGGTATTTGCTGTGATAGTGTTTATCAAGTGTGGGGCCTGGGCTAAGGTTCTTGTCTCACTGTGCTTTATGGCAATGGCTTGTAATGCGGGCGGGCTCCAGCAGCAGGGCGGGACGGACGTGGCCGTGGACTTGTACCTGGCCGTCCGGCTGCTCTTCACCGTCCTGGTCCTCACCCTACTCTCCATCTTCGTGAGGCTGCGGGGAACTGAGGGGGAGCGGTCCCGGGAGCCGGCGGCTGCTGAAGCGGCCCGGGAGAGCGGCCCCGGCGACCAAGCGGCGGCGGGAGCGGGGCCGGAGGCCGCCAGGGGACGGCTGCCGGTGGAGGAGGCCGGGGCGGTCGAGGAGCAGAAGGAGGCGGCTGCCGAGCAGCGGGATAAGGCGGCGGAGGAGCCGAGCCCCGCGGAAGAGCCGAGCCCCGCGGAGGAGCCGAGCCCCGCGGAGGAGCCCAGCCCTGCGACGGCCGAGAGCATTCCCCGGCAGCCACCCGCCGAGCCCCAGGAGGATGCAGGAGACCACGCAGCACTTCCCAGCAAGGCAGAGGAGGAAGAGCTGGACTCAGGAAAAGAGAAGCCGGTGGTGGGAGAGCCGGCAAGCACAGCAGCTACACCAGCCCCAGTGACAAGTACAGCAGCATCGTTTGAGAGTTCTGAAGGCTCTGAATGGCCTTTGGGTATCCTTGGGACCTGCCTGCTGATTGTGATGGGGATCAGAATGTTGGCACACACACAGACTGTGTTCTACCCACAACCATTTTGTCTGATCTCAAAAGTTAAGCAGAGTCAGGTTTGGGTCTTGTCTGGGGTTAGACAACAATATAGGGGGACCAAGAGATTTTCCCCAAGGCTGGAGAGTCATGAGTGGCAGGGTGTGTGGGACAGTATGGGCAAGTATCTAGTCCACTGGGCCCCTCCAGTGCTTTGGAAGCATCGGAGATGGAAGACAGCTGTATGGAGTCCCCAGCAACAAGCTGCAGAAACTGCTCAAGGGGACAGTGAATTATTTTAAGCCTGGTGGGCCCATGGCACTTCAGGCCATCAGAGCAGAGATGCAACACAGAGATGGACTCATGATCGAGGAGTGGACTTAACAATGGACACTATTGCCCAGGTTATTCACGAGTGTGAACACTGCACACAGTCTCTCCTGCTCTGGAAGACTGTTACAAGAGATGGAGCTTGACATGGACCAGATGGACGCAGCAGCTTTATAGGGACTGGTCCATGCACTAAGATAAGAGTGCACCGAGATAAGAGTGATGGTATATTGAAAATGTGGGATCTGAGCATGACGTGAATGGTATGGAATAAGGGGTGGATAATGTCCTGGGTTCAGCAGTAGCAGTCATGTTTCTCCTCCTTGGTAGCTGGTGCAGTGCAGTGTTTTGACTTTCGGCTCGGGAACAGAGCTGATAGAGATGTTTTGGTTTGGCCAAGGACTTTGTGAGCCTCATGCTCTGCCAGGGAGGAGGGGAAGCCGGGAGGAAGCAGAGACAGGACACCTGACCCAAACTGACCAAAGAGGTATTCCATACCACAGCACGTCATGCCCAGGATGTAACTGGGAGTTAGCCGGAAGGGCTGGGAGACTGCAGGGTTGGAGGAGGTATCGGTCGGAGCTTGGTTGGGCTTGGGGGCCGAGTTATCGGTCGGCTGGTGCTGAGGTGTTGTATTCTCTTCCCTTGTTATTTCCTTTATCACTATTATCATTGGTGGTAGCAGTAGTGATTTGTGTTATACCTTGGTTACTAAACTGTTCTTATCTCAACCCGTGGGAGTTGCATTCTTTTCGATTCTCCTCTCCGTCCCTCCGGGAGCAGGGGGAGGGCAAGAAAGGGGGGGGAAGTGAGCGAACAAATTACCTGACTGGATTTAAACCAAGACACATATCTAACTCGCATTTTGCGATGCACCACATACACAATTATCCCACTCCAGTTGCACAATTTATTGTGACTGTTAATGAAGAACAAATACATATGCAGAATTACACAGTTAAATCCAGAAGCAGAACCACACACAATAAAAGAGCAGCAACATTTACAGATAATAATTGAACTAACCAAAATATACATTTACCAAAAGCCACCTGGTTGGTCAACACCAGAGGATCTGCCAACAGGGCTGGCCCAGCCCAGTCAGAACTTTTACATACTGTAGAGGAGGATAAAGTTCCTGTGGTGCACATAAAGAATTTGCTGGAGAAGACAGTCAGGGTTATTCCTGCTTCAGGTAAAGGCAAACCCACTTGTGGCATTGCTTTTGCTCAGGGACCCAGACATACTTGGTGGGTAATGCGGGAAGATGGGGAAGTCCGATGTATACCTCAAGGGGTTTTGATTTTAGGGGAAAACAGCCAATGAACTCAGTTGTATGCTGTTGCCTGCTATGTAGTACTTTTAGAGCCCACCAAATAGATGTCTTCAGGTCACCAGCGACCAGCCATGACTTCCCTCTGTCCATCATCCCCACAAAGAATGAACTTTGATGAAACCAGATGAATTCTTCGGTATCATCAGCAGGCAACGATCCAACACTGCACACAGCCTCTCCTGCTCTGAAAGACTGTTACAAGAAATGGAGCCTGACATCATGGACAGGATGGACTCAGCAGCTTTATAGGGATTGGTCCATCTGTGTGTGTATGTATATATATATATGAGATAAGAGTGATGGTATATTGAAAAATGTGGGATCTGAGCATGATGTGAATGGTATGGAATAAGGGGTGGATACCATCCTGGGTTCAGCAGTAGCAGTCATTTTTCTCCTTCTTAGTAGCTGGTGCAGTGCTGTGTTTTTGACCTTCAGCCTGGGAACAACACCGATAACACCGATTATTTTTGGTGTTGATCAGTAATGTTTACTCTGACCAAGGACTTTCTGAGTCTCATGCTCTGCCAGAGAGGTGGGGAAGTTGGGAGGGAGCAGAGACAGGACGCCTGACCCAAACTAACCAAAGAGGTATTCCATACCTCAGCATGTCATGCCCAGTATAGAAACTGGGGGCAGTTACCCAGAAGGATCACTGCTCCGGTCGGGCTTGGTATTGGTCAGCGGGTTGTGAGCAGTTGTATTCTCTTCCCTTGTTATTTCCCTTATCATTATTATTCTTGGTGGTAGCGGTAGTGGGTTTGTGTTATACCTTAGTTACTGGACTGTTTTTATCTCAACCTGTGGGAGTTACATTCTTTTGATTCTCATCCCCATCCCTCCGGGAGCTGGGGGAGGAAGGCAGGGAGTGAGCAAGTGACTGATGTTTCTGGGTTGCCAGTTGGGCTTAAACCATGACAGTTATCAGCGCTGTTCCCAGGCTGAAAGTCAAAAACTCAGCACTGCACCAGCTACTAAGAAGGAGAAAAATGACTGCTACTGCTGAACCCAGGAGAAACCTCCAGCTGTGGCACTGGCAGTAGGATATGTACAGGCAGCCTTCCTCCATAAGCTTTACCTTCTTGCTGCAGCCTCTGCAGGGAGCCTTGGAGGACAAAAGCTGCTTCTCCACACTGGAAGCCTTCTCCACCTTCTTGGGATCGAAGGGCATGTGGCAGAGTGGGCAGAGAGGGGATGGCACTTGCAGGCAGGGCTGCAAGCACTCCTCGCAAAACCTGGGGGGCACAGACAGTGGCTCTGAGCAGCCCAGGAGGATTGAGGTGGAGCAGAACCCCAGCCCCAGGGCACACCCATTTCCAGAGACTCCTGCACTCCCCAGGCTGCAGGGTAGCCCCAAAACCCAGGGATCAGCATCCCCACAGGGAGAACTGGGAGCTTGGGAGAGGGTGCAGGGAGGCCAGGCACTGCTGGGGCACAGGTAATGCAGCTGCTTTGAGACCTGAGGCTGGGAGCAGATTTGAACAGAGCCAAACAACTCATGCTGAGCATCCAGGCCACACAGGAATAAAGGCAATGAGCACATTAGAGCCTGGTTCTCCTCCTTTCAAGGTCCTTATGCCTGCAGGAGCATGGACGAGAAATCAAAGCAGTGGAGAGGAAGCACAGACAGGAACCCCCATGCACAAGGCAAAGCAGCTCAGTCCCCACAAAGTCAATGGTCATGGCATCCTCATCCCCTCTGCTGCCTACCCAGCTCACATCACAGAGAACAGGGGAATGAAATGCTGCTGCTGCGCCTCTGCTGAGGGACCCCTTGCCCCAGGTCCCTTTCACCACCCCCATGGAGCACCCCCAGCCCCAAACACGCTAGAAATGGGGAAGATCAAGATATCCCAGTAACAAGATGGGAAAGGAGGACAAGGGGACCCCAGCTCTCCATGGAAGCACTTTAGACAGCCTCGCTCCAGGTACCAGGGGTCATGGGAGCAGTGCAAAGTACCCATGGGGGTCAGGGTGGGATTCCCACCCAGGTTAGACCCCAGCCAGCACTGATGTGTGCTGGGAGCAGGGTCTAGGGGAGACGCTGGGGGCAGGAACCAGGTGTGGGCACAGAGGAAGAAGAGGGCTGGGGTGGTCAGTGAGGTAGGACCCTTGGGTGCACCCCACACCAGGTCCAGTTGGGGGAAAACACGGGGGGAAAAAGCAGCACCCAGCTCGCCAGGAGGGAAAGAGGTTTCAGGATAGGGACAAGGTGCCCGATGCTTATAGAGCAGCTGGAGGCCGAGCAGCAAGGAGGGATGCCAAGCACCAAATGGGGGGTGAGCTAGGGGCCCCAGTACCAGGATGAAGGGGGGGGGAGATGGAGGGTCCTGGGCTGAAGGGTGTTATAAAAACCTAGCCAATCTGTTTTAATTGATTTTTATTAATAAGAGAGACAATAAGCAAGCAGCGCTGGGTGTGCCGGGGAGTCTCCGCTCCGCCTGAGACACACACTGGGAACTGCTGGGGATAGTCTCTTATACTTTTTGGTTTCCCAGGCTTCTTGGGTTTCAGCCAATCCTGTTGTCTTCTTTTCCCGGGCTTCTTCAGCCAATCCTGTTGTCTTCTTTTCCCAGGCTTCTTCAGCCAATCCTGTTGTCTTCTTTTCCCGGGCTTCTCCACCTGTTGATGGGGTCTTGTCTCCGGGTGAAGAAATATTATGTCTATCACAAGTCTGACCGCCATCTTAGCCCCCATAAATTCCACTCCTTATGTGTCTATTTGTTCAGCGCACAGATTTCACAACCTTCTGTAACAGGACATATCTCTAAGTTACCTACCCCCCCTTTTCTAAGAACATTCAGGCAATTTAAACAATGAACAAAACATTTCTTTGCACAATATTGCGGTTGACCCAGGGGAATTATTCCCTTGCTTCTTCTTCCTCCTCACTGTGGTATTGACAGGGACATTTATCATACCCTTTGCACATAGCGCAATGATCACAAGGGATTCCTTCTCCACAAATTGCAATGATCACTCGGACCCCTGAGTTGCTGACACAAATCACTCTGATGTAACGCACAAGGGAGAGGGAAGAATGAGAATCCCTGCACCAGGCTTGGAGCTAAGAACAGGTGCTGAGGGGTGGGATAGGGGTCGTCGTGCCGTGATGGGGGTGTTGGCATGGGGGTCTCGGTACCAGACTGGGGGTACAGGGTGAGATGGGAGCCCCGGTACCAGGATGAGTGTTGGTGGTGGCGGCACAGCTGCCTCAGGCCCCGGGCGGGTCCCCTCAGTTGCGCCCCGCCGCCACCCCAACTCACGTGTGTCCGCATCCGGTGATACTGACGGCGCGATGGAAGACCTCCAGGCAGATGGGGCAACTGAACTGTGCCTCCAGTGCCTCGGCAGCAGGGGGCGACAGAGGGGACCTGCCCGGGGCCTGGGGCCCCTGTGCCGCCGCCGCCACCAGCAGGCTCCTGAACCTGGCGGCGGCGGGGGGATCTTGATGTCACCGTGCGTCGCCGCGTTATCACCATGCACCAGGAGCAGAGTGGGACGGGGCTGAACGATGTCATCACCATGTGCGAGGCGGCGGGGGACAATGGAAGGTGTGGGGCGGACACGGTGATGGCACGGGGCCGCTGGGATGCAGGGAGCTTGACCCGTGACCGGGTGCTGTCCCCAGTACCTCCTCGGTATCTTCCCGTGCTGCCTCTGGTACCTCCAGAGTACCCCCGGGTGCTACCCTCGGTAACGCCCCAGTACTCTACCCACTGTCCTCTGGTGCTTCCCCCGGGGTTTCCTCAGTAACCCCCCGGTGCTGTCTCCAGTATCCCTCTGGTATCACCCGGTGCAGCCCCTGATGTTCTCCTTGGTACTGCCCCCTGATACTGTCCCCCGTTGCGCCTCCAATACCCCCTCACCGGTGCCTCTCTGGTACCGCATCCCGTATCCTCCTGGCAATATCCCCGGTACCCCTGTAAGATATGGTCTCTAGGTTCAGGCAGGAACCATAGGTAAAGCATTATACGACCCCCATCTGTTGTAAAAGCTCAGGGTAGACACAGCAGTGAAGCAGCTATTTATTAACGTTTGTGCAAAAACGGGTGTCCTGGAAAGTAGGCACACACAGCAAAAGCAGAACTTTGATTTACATTTCCTACCCCGTCCGCAGGTTCCTTCCCTTGATTCCCCATTGTTTGGATACTCCAAGGTTTACAGCCTGTCTGACGTCTACATGCTAACTGTCCCGCCTCTGGTCACATCTCCGCTTCCTCGATTTCGAGCACCCCTTCCTCTTATTTATTTATCTCATTTTATGGTTTGATTTCATAACTGTCTGGCAGAGATGTGGTACCCAACTGGTTTAACCAGTCTGCACCTGCTTAGTTTCACAGGTTGTACAAAGACAGTATTCTTTTTAAACGCAGACTGTGTCTGTTTGAGTCATGGTATTTCAAACCCTTTGTTTCATTTCCTTAGCAACTTAGCCCCAGTCCTGAGACAAGGGGGGCACAAAATTACAAAATGAAATATATAAACCTTTAGAATCAGTTTTAAGTAATGTTAAATTTGATGGCTTTGTAACAGTAGCAATGGAAAATTACTGAAGTGCATGATATACAGGAAAAAATAGAGTACAGCTAGAGAACATACTGAGAATTCTTGTACAAGGTAAACTCTTGTAGTTGACGTAGTTTTAGGCCCTATGACCTTAGTACAAAATGAGTGTAAGAAAAGCAGGCTAGAAGAACAGGACGCAGGGATAAGGAGTATTTGGGAATGGCAGGTGTCCAGGATGGGATGCAGTTAAACTAACTGATAAGTAGGAGGATAGGAGGATTATTAAGTCTCTGGTGCTAACGAACCAATTAAACTGGTATGAGCATCTACTAGGCATGCTTCAAAGGCTGCCAGAAGTGATGAAGATTGTTGGAAGAAGTAAACGACCCTCAGAGACCACCACCACAATTTTGTACGCATGTGGGGAACTTTCTGGAAAATTATGTAGTCCACACGTAGCCTCATGAATATATGTATGCCCAGGGACTATATAAGGACGGCCTGTATAGCAATACAGGGACACACGTTAGGAGGAGCTATCCCCCGTGTCTCCCAGTGCCACAATAAAGAATACCTGCTTGTCAGCTTGAAAACTTTATTGGCAAGTTTGTTCCTGGAGTTTTCTCTGAAACAATTTGGCAACCCAGGTGGGACTTACTCTACTCAGCTGCAGGACCCGCTGAGGACAGGGCTCCCCTAGGGCCCTCGGGAATTTTTCCCGGAGGGACCCCTCAACTCATTCGGATCACTGCAGGAGCAGAAAAGGGCCATCTTCATAAAAGGCATTCTTTTCTTTTGTATAGTCTGTAAGGTGCAGGGGGCATCTTGCATAAAGACTAAATTGGTAAATTGCTTTGGTAAGTGTATTCAAGATTAGGAAGCCTTCCGTAAATTGAGATAGGAAATCTCATAGGTAAAGGCATATACCCAGCTGCTAGTGTCCGATTGGTATATACCCACAAGAAGCAGGGGGCATCTTGTGGTTTGGGTCCTACAAGACACAAAGGGTGTCTTGTGGAAATGGTTTTGGATCTTGTTATCAATATTGTAGCCAATTTTGGTTTAAAGTGTAAATTTTATTAAACTGAGTAAGCGATAGCAGATAAAACAGCGCTGGGTGCGCCGGGGAGTCCTCCGCTCCACCCAAAACGCGCACACGCGGTCCCTGGGAGGTGGTCCTTTATCTTTTTCGGTTCAAGGTCCCAGCCAATCCTGTCGCCCTCCTCACTCGGATGTTGACATGGCTCTTCCCCATTGGCTCCCCTTGTTGCAGGGGTCTCATTACTGAGAAGTTTTGGGAAGTTTCGAGAAGCTCCCAGAGGCTTCGAGAAGCGTCCACTGCCAGCCTCCTCACCGTCTCAGCCCCCGCCCCTCAAGCGTTGCAACAAGACACCACTTGGAGCCACCCAGCCCCCTTTTCTCTCTCACAATCCTGTGCAACAATACAACTGACCTCCCCCCCATTACTTACAGAGTACAACAGTTACAGAGTCAAAAAGGAGTATTGTTTCACATAACGACAGCCACAGAGAGCCTCCCTCCAACAAACTTCTTGATGAACAAACCCCACACACTACAATTCCCCCCTTTTTCTTTTCATCATTTTTGTTCATCAAATCGTTGTAACACATCTTGGCTTAACAGCAATGAATTTTTTTGTTCTACAGGTTTTCTTGCTCTGCCTCCCCGACATCGTATGAGGCTTGGGCTTTTATACTGACCAAAATGCACACTCATTCCGACACAGGTGGCCAGCCTGTGCTGGAAGAAGTGGCCAGCAGTATCTACAGAGGTCTCCAAGGGTTGATGTAAACCTGGACATACTTATATTTACCAACTTCTAGTACATGAGTATCACAGAGAAACTGTATGGGCTCCCCCTGTCAATTGCAAGAAAAAAAAAATCATAACATATACAGCTTGAGTGTAAGAGGATTTTAACGCATATGTGGTCACTGTTTGTCAGGCCTCCTTAACTATTTTGAGATCAAGAGCTTCCCACTCTGTCGGGTGGTTATTGAGTCAGAGTCCCAGACCCGCAAGCAGTGTCATCTTTCATCGGCGGAGGAAGAATGCAATCAGACTCAATATGAGTGATAAGCAGACTTCGTTTATTGATTCAACTTGCCATCTTTTATACTCTTACAATGATTTATGCCTACTAGTCAGTTGCTGATAGGCTGCAAGCCTAAAGGTTACATTAATATACTCTTCCTACTTGCGGTTTACTTGCGGTTTAACGGCAGGCTAACATCCTCATTCCTGAGAGGGCACTTCCTCAAAGTTGCTTATCATACTTGTCCTCAACCGAACTTGACCTAGGGTTATTAGCGGTCGGTACTTTTCCACTGCCACGTCAGTCTCGTAGCAGTAGAGATGTCAAGGCTGCTGAACCAGACTAGGCCGCAATCATCAAAACTGACTTTCTCGATACAGAGGGTCACCAGACCCACTGTGCCCTTTCTTTCTAAGCCATTCTCCAACACCACTCTTTAGCCCCCTGCTGTGTAGCAAACACAGGATATGCAAAGATGCCCATTGCAGAAAATTCCCCAGTAATGATCGCATCCTTGGTTACCCATTGTTACAACTGAGCATCTCCAGGGCCAGTGAGTCTGAGCAGACCGGCCCGGGAGACGGAAGAGTCAGGGTCTGGAAGCAGAGGATATAAATCTGGATCGGATTCAGGGGATTCGGGGGCTGATCCTGCGCCGAACTCGGGGTCTCCGTTGCTTGCAGCTGTGTCTTTCTTATCAGATGTATCTCGTTTGGTATGTAGCCATCTGCAGACCTGGCTCCTCCATAACTGAGTTAAATTATTTTTTTTTTCACTCTAGGGCATAGTGTGTTGGAAAGGCTCACAGTTCCTTTAAATCTCCCACTAGCGCATGATCTCTATTTTCTACTACGTGCTTCAAAATGGCACCGCAATTGATCTGGCGCCGAGGCACCGCCCTCTTTCTTTCGGATTCTTTGACATTTATCATGCGTATACCTTCTAATATACTTTCTCTGTCCTTTTCAAAGTCCCTACTTTCGGAACTGGGGTGGTGGGGGAGCAGGGGGTTACACCTCCTCCGCGGCACCTTCTGATGGAGGGGGAGAAAAGGAAGGGGGGGGGAACCCTGTGCTTCCGCGAGTTGGGGGAAACGAGTTGTAATCTTCCCCCGGTTTCAACCGACCGGGGACGTCTGTTCCTAGTTTCTCCGTTGCTACCGCGGCAGTTTTCTTTTCCGCCTTGTAACTTTTTATACAGTTTATTACTTCTCTCCGTGGTTTACCGAGTTTCTTTGCCGTTCAGGGCTCAGTTCCCCGCTTTTATAAGAAGCACTGTAATAAGTCCAGGGCTACCTCTCGGTCCATTTTCATGGCCAGCCTTTTCCGGATCGTCTTCTTCTGGGTTGTCCTGTAACCTTGGTCTCCGGATCGGCCTCCCAACGCAGCAGTGTCGGGTTCGCCCCAGCGGCGGACTCCTTTCGGTTAGTCCAAGCACCTGGGTCCATCACGCCACCGCAGCAGCATTGCCTGCACTCCCCGGCCGCTGCCGCCGGCGCCGCTCACTCGCCGTTCCGGGTCTCTGTTAACCGGGGCCCTGTATCCGGGTCCCCGTTAAACCGGGTCCCTGTATCCGGGTCCCCGTCGACCGGGGCCCTGTATCCGGGTCCCCGTTAAACCGGGGCCCTGTATCCGGGTCCCCGCTAGTCGGGGCCCTGTATTCCAGGTCCCCACTAGTCGGGGCCCTGTATCGGGGTCCCCAGAGACCAGGGCCCTGTAGTCCGCGTCCCTGTTCGGGCGCCATTTGTAAGTGGCGAGGAGAAGCAGACAGGCCAACCCAATATGGGTGATAAGCAAACTTCTACCGTATTTGTGACGCAGTTCACATATATATAGGAGTGGTATTCAGCCACTCCTCCTTGGCACAACAGTATTGGTTAGCCCCACACAGCTTCCTCCACATTCTCCTCCCATGTCCGGTTTCCGGTTACCTGTGGGGGCCACCCCCTGCCTTGCTTGCACAGTCCTCCAGGGCTCTATGGTCCTGCTCTTAGAGTCATTCTGCAACACATACACTGTGCCGGATTAGTACCATTTAGGCGTTTAGGTTTCTTAGTTACTCCAACAGCCTCATAAAAGGGTGGTTTAACCCCATAACGCAACCAACAGTGTTCCGTAAGATTTGTATTGGTTTTGTTCAACAACAAGTAACTAGCATGCATTAACTTCCAAAGGGGATTAATTTCAGGGGTTTCGTTAGGGGTTGGGTTATTCCCAAGGGTTTCATCAGGAGTTTGGGTGATTCGAGTAATCTTCATTTCAGGAGTTATCGTTATATTGTCTATTTTAGGAATTCTTGTTGTACTATCCATTGTTCCTTCAGCCAA